CCAACTCCCAACTATGGCTGTTCAATTCTTGCACAGCAAAGTAGATATATTTATACATGGTGGAATTGTTAATTTTATATACTGAGCCTCAAAAGAAAATGATTACTTATAACTGTAAAAAAATTCTTTCTTGTAAGAGGTGCACTGACATGAACATGACAATGACAGAACATGACATTAGGACATTTATTCAATATGCAGATTAACGTTGATCAGCTGTCTCCTATGAAAAGCATGCATCAGTACCAAACAATACAATCTTCAACGATCTTTAATGACCAATGAGGCAGGCTTAACATCTCCTGTGGAGGCTGCGGGAAATGAATGGGTTTAGCTGAATAATTCTTTATGTTCTGGGGGTGCCAAATATTAAGTTTTGCTACATTCAGATTAAAACTTTGCACTGTTTATATATTAGAAATGATAATTTTATGAAGGTCTAATTTTTAGATTTAATCAATTTGCCAAAAAACCTGATGCCCAACAATTTGCCCAGTGTGGTGAAATCCTTTTTGTATCCTGCCTGTTGCTGTAATTGACTCTTTCTCCCCAGCTCACTGGCTGCCTCAGTGATATGGCAGTGAACCATCAATGGAGTTGGCATGAGAACAGAAGAATGAGTGCAATTGAAGCATTCTATATCCAGGTGGATTGTTTTGGCATCGTAGGGCCTAAATCAACCTGCGTCTGACAGGTATGCTAATTACCTTTTAAAATTCCACACTCCGAAACTGCTGACAAATACATTTATCCTTGAAGTTTTCTTTTTACTCAGGGTACATTTGTGCTCTGTTAATTATATGTCACTAAAAGAGCATGGTAAAAGTTCAGAAATGTTAAAAAAAACAGAATTTCTAACGACCACTCAGTGCCCATAATTCATTTTTATCTGCAATTCCTGCGCAGGATTGAAACCTGAGTGCTGTATGTTTTGAAAAGGAAATAAAGCTTGGCAGCTGCTTGCGTCTCCCAAGCCTGGTGAAAGAGACCCAGTTGCTAACAGTCTCTGTAAAAACCACACAGCACAAAGATGCCAGACTGTGAGCAGCCCCCCACATTCCTTATTTTTGAATTTTTTTTGAAGAATGGATTTTGAAGAGATACAGAAAATCTACAATACAGAATATACAATAAGTACATAATTAATTTGTAACTTTAATTTGGTTAATACTTTAAAAACTAATTTATCACTTAGACAACATTCAGATCACTTTCTATGAACAAAGTGATCTGATCTGAAGATCATTAAAGTTGCTATCAGCTTTTATTTACTGTAAAACCTTAAGATATTAACTGTCACTGAGCTGGAACTCTGTTGAATTTTTCAAAATCCCTCTTTAAAGCTCTGCTTTTCTCCTTCCTTTTTAATACTACAGTACTGTATATGCACCAATAACTGCATTTCGGGTTCAGGAAAACTGTCTCCCAGAATATAAAGTCCTTCGAAAAGTCCTTGAAACACTGCCCATATCTTTTCGTTTGGTGGAACGTGTTGCTTTTACTTGTGAATTATACGAGTTCTTTCAGATTGTAAAAATAGTTTTCCTTTTCAAAAGCAGACTCATGAATGTACAGTACATATTACACACAGAAATTATGCAATACTTAAGACAGTCAAAATCACACATCTAAATAATATTGAAAACCAGACCAAAAACTACAGAGGAACAACTCAAGGTACTGAAGTGAAAATATGAAGTGCCAAATCCCTAACTGTTTTCAAAGGCCTAGAGAAGAGGCAAAACAAAGAGCTGCAGTGAGCGAGCAGATTCCAGCTAATACAAAATGGTATGGTAATGTACTCCAAGATCAAACAAAAGAGCAGAATCCAAAAGCATTAAACTTCGAGAGTCATTCTTTTCAAAAGGCACTGCATCTGTAACATCTCTAGACAAGCCCCTTTGTATATTGGTTTCTATTTTTTCAAAATGACTGTAAAGTTGGAATATGTTGTAAACAAATGTAGGGGAAGGACTTCATTTTATCTGTTTAGAGTTAGCGGGGAAAACCGAAGGAACAGGAAAAGCTGGCATTATCCTACCATTCAGCAAAGCCTCCAAAACAAATGAGTATGAAACGGCACTTTGCATGACCACTCAAGGGTTGTTTGGACTCCTTAAGAGGTTCGAGTGGGGATCTGTAAGTGTGCAGGCTGAAAAGGAACAAGAAGAGGTCAATTGAACACTGAAAGGTGGAGTTGTCTTCAGGTACATCACAAGAAGGTTCCATAACTGAATCGTTTTCTTGTCCCTGAATTCCAGGATAAAATATACTACTGATTGTTCTACAAATCATTTACTGCATAGCATGGGCAAGCTGGCAAGCAGCCGCATGAGCCCAGAGTAGGCTGACTGCAGCAGCAAAGACGGGCTGGTGCAGTAAAGGCGATCACAGGCAAGCACAGTCCTTGCAAATACAGTCCAGAGCAATAAACAGGGAGAAGCAAAGTTCAAAACAAAGAGACACAGTGCAGAGGCACCAGAGGAGGATTCAGAGAAAAAAGTCATGGTGAAGCAGGGTCCCAGGAAGCAAACAGTGAGAACTCAGGAACTTGGGGTAAAGCTAGAGACATGGCAAACTCTGTGACAAGAGTTCGCGAGTACTGTCTGATCGCAGCCTACAGTATGTGGTCTTGAACCACCCGAGGTGGGTGTGGTGAATAATTGCCTCCAAGTAGTACAAGACTATTGTCAAATTAATCATCAAGGTTACTGGCATTGAATGACAGGTACAGTAGCTGCTATCATGGAAATACTAGTAGGCAACGTCGCTCGTATGGGGTGATGAGAATGACAGCGATACAGTAGTTCTTTCTTATATTGGTCATTTAACACAATCTCTGACCTAGCCCCTCAGCCCAACAGTGTGAACAGAAAATAATTTTCCAATTATTAAATTATGATCTTGCCTCCTGTCTTTTCTAACTGGGCTGTTAGAGGTTGCCAGTTTTCAGGAACTGTGCCTGCTGCCTACATACTTGGATGACCTACAGAGACACTGGCCCAGCAGTGTCATTGGATGGGGAGTGTAAGTTACACTCAAGCCCCATGGATGTAAGTACTGGATCTCCATGGTGAGATGAGTGTGTGCTGGCCAGAGCAGGTGGGTTTCTCTCTCTGTTGTGGTGTATGAATAAAGCAAGCTGCCATTTTCCCTGGCCCAGGATGACCCCACACCTCCATCAGCAGACCTGAAATCCTGTGAAGACAGCAGGAATACCAGTCATGCTCATTAGAGTAGCAAAGCTACAAAGTAATTGTGGCATCCAGTGGAAAATCTCAAGACTAAATTTTATCCTGTATATCCTTTATGATATCAATAAATTGATTCATTTATTCTATCTACAAGTTGAGAAACTTCCCATTATTTTCATTATGCACTGCGGTTGAAAAAGCTGGTGAGCTCTTTACTATGAACTCTGCAACCACACACAGGGAAAACCCATCCATCTTGGAGCCATTTATATTAAAATAACTAAACAGGCTACAAGGCCCTGTACTGCAGGGACAGGACCTATTGAAGGAGAGACACCTTCTCTCACTGACAGCACCCCACACATGAAACCCCCAGGAACTCATTGGGGACACTGTTGCCTACTGAGCCCAGCTGCTCCACCCTGCCCTCGGAGGTGCAGCAGCCAGCTACTGATTTTCTACTTTTCCATGCCTGTGTTTGGCACGCTCCTTGCCTGATTCCTAAACCCTGGAGTTCTCTATCCCCAGCTAATAAATAGGTGCAAGGATATGCTAATACCCCTTTATAACTTTGTGAAAACCTGTGCTTTTAGTTAAATAGGCCCTTCATTAATCAGAGATACATTTAATCAGTAAATTAAGTTTTGGAGTTACGTGTTTTACTTGATTTAAAGCAAAAGCAATTTGATTCTAAGTTTAGACTGCAGCTGTCTTTCTTTGTTCCTTTAATTTGAACACTAAGGTGTTTCTACTGATACATGCACACTAAGCAGTCAATACTTCCGTAATGTATTTGTACAAAGTGATTGGCAATAATCAGTTTCAATCCCAAATGTCTTATAAACAAAATTTAATTCACTCTATTGTTTATATAATGTAATATTAATATTACTGCATCTCATAATATTGAAAGAGTTTGTGTCCCTTTCTCATGCCATCAGCATCGTGGTTTTAATATGAACAAATTAATCTGTCTTATTAATAAAATCAGATCTCTCACACCGGTTTAGTGATTAGGAATACATCTGAATTTGTGAAGATGCTGTTGCTTAGCCATTGCCTTTAAAGAGAAACTAGAAAGAAGCTAAAAGTCAGGTGTATTTTATCAGATTTACTTCGAATCAAACCGCCAGCATATATTACAGAACACAGAGTCAATATAAATAAATACAATTCATGTGTCATCAGGCAATTCATTAAATTAATTCTCTTCATTCCTTATATATACTTCAAAGCTCAGATTAATTCTCAAACTCTCTTCATGTTCTTTCTCTTTAGGATTCCCGAGATGTATTGTGGTGTGCTTGTGTTATCTCAGTCTGATTGCTTTTACACAGACACAGATTTCTGGAGCTCACACTCAATGCAATGAAAAATGTGTCATGTTGACCATTTCAGGCTTGGATCTTAGGTTTTCAAAGTGCAGCTGTGACTTCAGTAGTGACGGTCTTTAAGGCTTGGTCTTTGAGAAACTGTTCCACTAATTGGGATAGTATTAATTACTGATTGAGCTATCTGGTATATGTCTCTATACCAGAAAACTACTTGATCTCTAAATGGCATGTTACAGAATGTCCTGTTTTTGCCTTTGCATATCATAGCTTCTGCTGTGCCATAAGGTTTGTTCTATCATTTTCAGAAAGTGAGAAGGGAATACAATTACACAAAATAAAAAAGTACTGTTTTGACCATAGTTTAAATTTAAAAATAAAATAGAATTAAATAAAGTAGCTTGTCAACTTAAAAAAATAAAAAAATAAATTTCTCTGACACACATCAGCAACGTAACTCAGGCAGAGGCAGAGCTGAAGAAAATGGCTTTATTTAAGAAAATAGTTTTCTTAGGCAACAATAATAGTAATTTTTCCATGCATAAAAAGGGAAACTGATGACTTTGGATCTGTAAAGAAAAAAGAACAAGGCAAACCATTTCTATAATAAAACTAGAAAGCTCCTCCCTGAGTCGGGGATGATAACAGTTAAGCTGGCAGGAGGCCACTGCAAAATATGTAACAAAATATGTAAAACACAGCACCAGTTCCGCAGGCTGCCACAGAGTGCCTTTAAACTAACCCACTCCAAAAGCTGCCACCTCAAAGCTGCTTAAATTACAACAAAATGAACATGCATTCTATATTAGCTGGGCAATTAAATGTTAATTGTTGCATTAAGATGTCAAACAAGCACACTTTAGCTGGTCGCTATTTTTTTTCAAGCTGAGCCAGACATGTTCAAGGGCCAACAAGGCTATTAGATTTCTTTTGCTACAAAAATGAGTTTAAACGTTTGTAAGTGATCATTTTGCTATTAAAAACATGAAACCATATATTTTGTTTCCAATGAGTGACCTATGGGAGAGTTGATGCATAGTACTGTAGAGATGTTGTGTAATTATCTGGATAATATCAAGCAATGTGACACCAATGTCATCCTTATTCAAGCAAGCAACCTCACAGCCAGGTCTAGAATTTGTCATGTGCTATGTTGTCCAAGGAGATATTTAAGCAGGCATTTTGCTAATATCCAGATCAAAAATTAAAAGTAAAATAAATAAAAGTTGGAGGATCAGCTTCAGGATCACAACAAAGAATAAATGATAGGTTTTAAACATGATTCTTTAATCATACTAACCCCCAAAACAAAATGTGTTCTGTTCATAAGATTTTTTTTTCTTTTGGACCTCAGAGTATTTTTTTTTTATTATGGTGATTATTATCTATCCAAAACTGAAGTACCTCACCCAGCTCAACATGACACTTTAGTACCTGCTTCATAGCCAGGCAGAGTTTCACTTTCATAACAGCTGAGAATTAGAAAGGACACTACAGTCACACCCTTGGGACTCAGGACTATGTTTGAGGCACATTTCAAAGGTTTTGCAGAAAACCACATTTTGAAAACATCACACATGGAGCCACCTAGATGTCAAACAAAGACCAAGAAAGAAGAAAATGCTCTTGCACTCCTTAGACAGTCAAAAAAAAAAAATAAAATACCATAAAAATAAGGGACCATAAAGGGGAAAATACCAATGGGCCTTTCAAGATTTAACCAGCTTGAATCCTTGTCCTGTGTCAAGCACAGTTGGTGGAAACCATCTTAACTTCATTCTCCTAAAACATCGCAGACAAATGCTACATGCCCAAAAAAGGTTTAGCCCACCACACCAGTTTGCCAGATGTACAAGTGGGTAAGTTATCCTGGGGAAATACACCATCCAGTGCTTGGCAAGATCACTTCCTGTGGGCAAATGCAGCATGTAGTCACTCCAATGCTTGGAAACCCCATACATTGCAGTCACAGTACGCCCTTTCTCCGACCACTGAATATTGTTGTCAGGGTTGCAGTTAAACTCCACCCAGTCCGACGTAAAATCTCCCAGCTGAGGGGGATCTGCCTCCTCGGCGTCAACGTATTTGGCCATTTTCGCGCCCTGAACAGCCACATACAGGTCGCCGACTTTCTGTACTTCTTTGACCCAAGGCAAAGCATTTTCACAGTCCAGCACGATTATGAGCCTGGAGCAGAAGGCGCCATTCTTCTCCTTCCACCAGTCCAGCAGGTTTCCTAGCTGCAGCGTGTCCCCTCCTGAACAAGAGAAACGAGCATCACACGGTTACCCATCAGCTTGACCTCTAGCACTTACGGCTTCCTGCTCGTTCCCTGAGGTGGAGCAGGTACATATCAACAACAGCTTTTGCAAATTTAAGAAAATAAACTGGATTATAAAAGGCAAAGACTAACAAAGCCAAGTCGATCATTTGCATACATGCAAATATATCTAAGAAGCACCATAGATATAGACTTCAGATATGTAGTGCAAGCACATGAACTGTATGTTCTAGTTTTAAATTAAAAGAATACAAATACATTAATGTAAAAACAAAACCTTTTACTTTTTAAAATTTTCCCTACAATACTGTTATTAGACATTACAGGCCTCCTCCTAAGTGGCTAGAGGTTGGAGAGCTTCTCCAATTAAAACCACTGACAATGTATTTTTCAGTATTCTAAACTTGAGGCTGCCTTGAATCAAGTGATTTAGTCACAGTGCCACAGATGCATCTTTGCAAAAAGGGTGTCGGGGGGGCAGGCTGATTGAATGCATTTGCTAAATAAAAATAATGTACAAGTCTCCATTCATCACAACTGTTCTAATAGTTTTAAAGATGTAATGGTATAATCACTCTATGAAAAATGCATAAAATGCATTTTAAATTGCTAAGAGCTGATGTAGCAGATAGTTAAAATAAACATATTAGTAGAAACAGTTTAGATCAAAAGACCAATGGCCTGTGTTTTTTTACTATAGGCTCTTGTGCAATGAAAAAAACATGTTCTGAAGGAAGCATGTCTATAACATAATTCAAAATAACATCACAAAGAAAACATAAAATACCAGCTGAGTAACTTGCAAAGTGCAGCAACCGTATTATAAAATAATTATGAAGCATTTTCATATCTGCAACAAATGTATATTAACTTTAAAGTACAGAGATGATAAACTTCACGATCTGAAAATGTTATTTCCATACATACAGACCCCCACTCATTTATTGTCCAGTCCTGGTTCTGGAATGTCAAATTGTCTGCAGGTTTTCATTCCTAACTAACAGGCTAAATCAGCTTCTTACTGACTTTTTCACATTAAAAGAAAACGACTTTCGTCTTAAATTTAGAACTGTCAATTATTTTTATTACACTCGCCATGTTTGGAATTGTCAGTTGTGTGCTTTTTACGTTTTTTGACTCGCAGAGAAAAAAACAACCCCCACACACACGTGAGAAAGAGTAAGCGAAGGGAGATTCCTATGACCTGTGCATGTTCCAGGCAACGCCAACCACACAACCCTGTCTACGAGGATCAGCGCTGACTTGAGGAGAGTCAGATTTGCATGACTCAGGCTCGAACCCGTCACAACAGGACCAGTCAGTTAGTGAATGTGACCCTAGCTTTATAGGTTTCATAAGATTCTTGCCAGCTGCTCGGACAGACCCATAACCAGACCACTTTAACGTTTAACTGCATAGGCCAGTCCTTCAGGTGCTGTTGTACAAAAGAGACTGGGAAAACCTGCTGACACTGCAGCCCTCCAGGGCCATGTCTGGACAGCCTTGAATGAATGCCTCTTTCTAATGCAAGCACAGGGTGGCACAGATTGAATTGAACTCCTGAGTGCCTTTTAACATTCTCTGTGTATACTCAAAACACTGTACTAGACTGGGATCGCCTCTTCACATTTCTGCAGAAATTAAGTGGAAAACAACAATCTAATTCATGCTCCTTAAAGCATTGTCTTGCCCACTTCAGAGTCTATTTAATCAATTATTGTATCATATTTTATCTGAAAATACTACACGAGCTTCATCTTTCCTCACTGTCAGTCTCACCAAGTTTCATTTTAAAGCAGCAAGATATTTTTATTTTTGCTGTGTGTCATGCTTCATACTATTTATCTGCAAACCCAGAGTGCATTATATGATTTTAACAACTCATAAAACTTTGTTTTTTGTGGTTTGAAGTAGGATACTGCTACATTTTGAGCAACCTCAGTGAAACAGAGCCTGAAGAATTACAGGGATGGTAATAGTAAGAGTTCTGCTTATAACAGATAAATCACTATGTCCAGATGTTATTTTTGTAACTGTTCTCTTAGACATGAAGGATTTACTCATGAACTTTTAGCCAGGATCTTTAATGGGTCACACTAAATAGGAGAAGAGACTGGAGACTGGAGAATTGATAATATTGTACCCATCCATAACAAGGAGGGCAAAACTGGGTCAGTTAAGAATTTACACATAGTAATCAAGGTATTAGGGACAGCCATTATGGGTTTAGAAAAGACAGACCCTATTTAGCTTTCTTGGTTACTTTGAATAAGCAATGATGGACCCAAACTTAAGTAATTTTGGACAATCTGATTTTAAGACTGTAATTGAAGCTCCACATAAATGTCTGATTTTGAAACTGGAAGAAAAAATGAAAGGGAACGTCATGAATGCAGAGAGTAGTGACAAGGCAAAAAAATATTGACTGGAACAATTAAATTACTGATCTAAAACCTTTTACTTCAAACTAATATTTTTAATTAATAACTTAATTAAAATTACTGACACTATTATTTTTAATTTATATTTCCATTTTTTGTACCTATCAGGTACCTTTTCCTACACCCATTCTTGTTTTTCTCAAGTTTCCATTCTCTGAATCCTTCTGTTTTTACATTATTTTTGTTCTTTTATATTACATTATGGATGTTTCTTATGTAGTTAACTATTTTCATGAAATCGTTTTGTATATTTTCCAATTATTTTGTCTTTTGTGTTCCAATTCATTATTTTATTTAGATTAATTTCATTTTTTTCTTCTTAGTTTTTGTTGAAATTTATTAAAACTCATATTATTAGAAGTCCTAAGTTTCAGCCGTGGGTTTTAAACAAAATATTAAATTTGAAATATATATGCATGCATCCTTTTCTAATTCAACAAAATGTGACAGCATAGGAAGGGTCTGGATACAAGTGTAAAGGTACTGTACAGATAAAGATTGTTTCAAGTAAGGGTGCTGTTAGGATCACTGGTATTAGAGAATGCATTTGCAATTTGTAAAGAAATCTGTAAAATATTTAACTCTGGTTCAACAGAAAGAAAAACGAAAAATTTGAAAGGTGTAACGTTGAAAACAATAAGGGTGAAGACATACTGGCAATTTAATACACAATAATGATAATAGCACAAAGACGTATGCTTTGCAGCAGATGCCAAATGTATAAAGAAGATTGCTAATGAAAAGAAAAAATCATGTAAGATATAATTAATTTTATTATTAGCTATTGATATATATTAACTATTAATCTGAAACTTAATTGAAATATGGACTCAATTGCCTCCTCTACTTTGAAGCCTTTCTTATATAATTACATGTACATTTTTTATTTAAAGAGTAACTGTCAACAGCTTTTTCCTTGGGGGATTTCTGGCGAGAACAACTGGCTGTACATAGGCAGAAGAAGAATCAGAAAAGCCTCTAATTAGAACACTGTGAAACATTTTGTATTTGCATTTCATGGTTCACAATTGTTTGTATGTGGGACAAGATGGCCTCATTCTGACAAAGGATACCTGATACAGAAATGCCAGAGGCGAAATGCTGCTTGCTCATTAGTCCATAACACTGCTGTGATTGACAGATCGACATGAAAATGCCAGAGGCAACATACTGCTTGCTTACTGGTCCAGAAGCTCACTGCAATTGACAGTCTGGAATGATTATCGGAAAAAAAAGATTTTTTTTCCCCATCAGATCTCAATGGGTATTCCTACGATTCAATGCATTAAATTCCTATGAGGTTCAAGTGCTCCTTTCCTCTATGCCTATTAACTAAGACTAAATAAAGCAGTACTAAATCAGTTTTTGTGGTACAATCTTTTTTTCTGTTAAAAGAAGAAATCTAACCCTATGGAAGGCTGTGAAGTTTCTTGTATTTTGTACTTGATCCCTTGATAAATCTTTTCATTTCTACTGTTATGTTTCTTTGTTTTTCTTTTGGCTTCTCCAATGCTAGGGTGCAATCCCTCCTCACACAGCATCCTCGAAGAAGATAAATATGAAAAATGTCAACATCACAACAATATGGCGCAGGACTGAGTTCCATTAATTTTCACTTCTTAGCGATTAACAGCTGCAGGCACACGGCTGATGGCCGCAGTCTTTGTTAATCCGCTTTATAGGCTGTGAGGGGCAATACATTACAACAGCTCCCTTCAGTGTGGTCCATCTGCCAAGAAACATCATTGGCACTTCGAATCTCTTTGACTTCCCTGCTGTTTCACCTGAAACCACTTAAAAAACTGCAACAGGGTTTTTTTTAATACTAGCTTCACTCAAATACTGCAGCATGTACTGCAACAAATACAGAGAGATCACATTGAAACCCTGCCAAGATACTTCTTCTACAGGGTAACAAATAAATAAACCCTCTTCAGACATCTGGATTGTTTAAGGTGCCACATAAAATTAATGTTATGCATTTTTGTATGTTTTGCTAAAAATAACTAAAAGGTGTTTCTGAAAAAGAGGTACTTTTCAAGTGAAGATACAGGAAAAAAAACAAATAATACAAACAATACAATTTTCTAGGGCTCAAAAGAGATAGGAAAGGGAGTTTAGTATTTCTGGTTAATGTTTTTTGCTACTTGCTTATGAATTAAATGATGAGAAGTTCTAGTTAACTGCACATAAAATCCAAATCCTTTCATCTACCATAAACACTGCATTTTTGTTTCTTTCCAAAAATTATGAAGTGGAGAGTTTATGACAAGTACTGGAAATACAGTATTTTTATGTCTTATTTTCCTAGTCCTGGGAAAACCTGACTCTACTGCAACATCCCATAGTCCTAAAATACTCTACTAGAATATCCAACACTTTTCAGAAAAATCTACCAATAAACATGAATTCAATTTAGTAAAATGTCCATAATTCGAAATGGAGAAAACAACTCCTTCAAATCCAATGTTGTAATAATGCCAAGTATTTTAAAAGAATCGTGTTTTTAAAGGTGCCAGATGCTCTCGAAGCAGATTACATTTAAAATAAGGATCTGCATACTTTCTTCTTAATTGTGCCCTTTATAGTTTTATAAAGAGACGTAAGTTTTAGTATTTTAAATTCCAGACACTATTTTAAGTCTCAGCATGAAAAAACAAATTACCTAGTAATTTTCCATAATTATCTTTCATTAAGCATGCAAATAATTTTGATGTGATAATTAAGACTTGGATTATAAAATTAAAAGAATATATTCCACTATATTTTGCACTCCATATGAACTGCATTTGGACAATTATGTTTGGAAATATAATACAACCTAAAAGACAAGCTTTTTTATAATAGGTACAGCATATAATATTTTTCCCAATTTACTGTCTAGTGGGTAAAAGCCAAGTGTTTGACTGAAAACTATTCCAGCCTCTTAAATCCTGCCAATTTCTAAACATAATCGCTGCTGGGAAAAATTAAATATAATAGATGCTGTGGGATATTTTGTAGCCTTTCCTACATTAAATCCTCAATAAAAGGCTTCCTCAGGTCCAGCTGTTATCAATAAATCATTTGCGTGCACTAATCACTTTACAATAAAAATGATCAAGTATCTTGGCAAAAGCATTTGCAAAGCTTCCAGGGTTAACTTTCAGGCAAGGTTTCACAGTTCCACAGCTAAGAGTTCATGGGTATGTAATTGATGTAGAACTGCTTGCTGGTATTGATCTGATTCACCACATGAAAAACACATTACCTGCCAATGCCCACTCTCCGGAGCCATGGGAGTGGCCACTGTAATACACGATGTAGGTATCGTGTCTGGGTCCGTCCGGGGTCCGCAGGTCCAGGAAAGACTTCAGTTTGGACTGCAGGGTATCCGAGGACAAGCCGCTGGTGGAGTAGTCACAGCCGTACGTCTCAATCATATGGTAGGCAAAGAATCTCTGGATAGAGTTCAGCATGCCCGTCGACCTCAGGTTTAAATCCTCCACGTGGTGAGGAGGGAGCAAAGTGGGCTGGCCATCAACACTGTAGGAGAAAAACAAGAATATAGGAGACACGCCTCTGTCTCGCCGGCCCTCTACATCCATTAGCTAGTCAACACTGTTAAATAAAGCAAACAAACTTCCAAAGATTTACCTGTCAACGCTGCCCCAGTGACTCATTCTTCCTACATTCAGACAGTCCTGTGGGTGGATGTCTCTGAGTACCATAAAAACCTCACTCTGTCCACAACCTAGAGCTGTGGCTCTCAATCCTGGGTCTGACCAACCACTCTGCTGATGGTTGTCTTTCCAGCTGGGCTCTCAAATCTTTGCTGTTCTAATTAGTGCCTTAAACACACTCAGACCTTGGGTTCAAAAATACCTAAGCTAAAGTTTATTTTGTCCCAAAACTTCACTTTATAAAACTTCATGAACTCTCCCCAATTTGCTAATTAAGCATTTTTCTGCTTCACGACTAAGAAGCTCCTTACAGGTGATCAATTGAAGAAGAACAAACACAGCTGGGAATGACACTATATCAGACACTCCCACAGTGAGTGAATGTTTTCTGTTAAAGATCAGTTTCTCCCAAATCACCCAATGCTTACATATGGGATAGCTCTGACAATCACTAATTAGTAAAGGCTTCATACCAACTGGTAACTTTCAACATTTTAAGAACTGAAGGCAAATTTTACAAAATACCTTTCTTATAACATTGAAATTAATTACCCTATATACTAGAAGACTCAAGAGATCCTCAGGACCAGACCAGGACATGGATTGTGCATTGATTAATATTTCACCTGTGAATGGTCTGCTGAACTATATTATTTCCTACTCAAATATAAATTTGTTTATATGTATATCTGATGGTTTTATCCATTTATCCAATTATATTTCAATTCAGGTGAAGTACCTTGTTCCAACATACAACAGCAGTGTTTCACATGGGATTTGAACCCAAAACCTTCTAGTTAGGAATCCAGAATCCTAACCACACGTCCACAAAGCTGCCTTTTTAACTATATAAATTGACTGAAAAAGTAACACATGCATTAGCTGTAAATTATAGGAAACAGACAGGAGCTGTCTTGGTTTGTATATTTTTGCTTTGGGTTGCAAATAATAAACTTAAATTTTTCAGTGACATGCAAGCACAGACCTGTAGTGTTCTGACTATGTGATTTGTGAAAAAAAATGTAATATTCTTACTTTGTTCACAAGACATCCTTCCCAAAAGCATACTTGATTGAAACTGCATACTTAGAACCTACTACATTATTCTAAAATTAGAATTGTTAAGCATTATACAGGCTTGATTCTTCACCGAGGCTGAAGAAACAGCTCCACTGTCTCATAGCCACAGTTCAGCCTGCTCATTTGTATGAGCTTGGCCTGCTAGTTTCTCCTCTCCCCAGGGGAGGCTGGCACTTTCCTCATCATTGAAAAAAACAGGATGTGAATCCATTAAAATCCGAATGATAAAACTGCTACATTCTCATCACGTGTCTCACCCCCCTGCTGGGCTTCAAACTCACACTCACACTGGAACACTGGAAGGTGATAACTACAGCACAGTGCTTAAGTGTGATCAGCCATTAAAGAGAAAACTGGAAACATTTTGTTAAAATGCACAGATAAAAGGTGCCATTCAATCTGTATGCAGAAGAGACATGAAACAACAAGACTTCTCATTAAGCAGGGAAAATACTGTCAAAAACGCGTCTGTTGATGTATAATGAATTATATTTCGCTTGTGATGACCTGCGTCCATAAAAATATCTTGTTTTTAGATAAGACTGCTTTTTCTTATCAAGTAAACTTCATCTACACTTTACATGATATATGAACATGATATCTGTTATGAACCTCATATACAATAAAACTGGAAAGCTGGGCACCTAGCATTTTAAACTAATGTTATAATTTGATGGTGAAATTTCAATCACCATCACCATTATTTTTTGCAAACTGCTTTAATGTTACCTCAGTTAAAGCTGGACTGAAGTACACAAGGAGGCATAAGGCAGCTGGTATCAGTCACACAAATACAATGACATCCCAAATTGGATTAATTCTTTAAGGCAAAGGGATGACTTTAACCCATGTTTAACCCATTTGGGTACTCGGATCTCTAAATTTCTCAATAACTGATAGGAAAAGCAAAATATAAAATGCAGTTCAGTTTTTGACCCCAGTTGCATGCATCAGAGTATCTGTAAATGTTTTCCAGCATTGCCATAAATGAAAAATCCTGAAATGTAAAAATCTTAAATCTTAAAGTGTATAACGATGGTCTGCAGTGTTCTGTACCTGCAATAGTTGGTGGGGACAATGACAGCATATCCCACACATGTTCCTCCCAAACAATTTCCAAGTTCATGAAACAAACCATGAGCCAAGGACTCCAGGGGCAGAACAACGAGGAATACACTCATGAAGATCCCATTAGTGACCTGAAATAAAGTACAAATTAAAACCAGAATGTGAAGCTACACTTAAGTTATATCTAATACACTTGCTCACTCAGTACTAACCTGATAAAACAAGTTTCTCTCTCTTATCAACATGTACTAAATCCTTACATTAAAGAGGTCCCTCAGTTAAGGATGTAGGATATGGTGAATTATAATATTTTTCAATATTAATTTAATTAAAAAAAATATTTCTCAAGTGCCAAAAGTTGTGCTGTAAAATGGGAAATCCTGCTTATTCTTTTTGCTAGATTAATTCAATTACAGTATACCATGAGCAGATCACTGGGTCCTCTTAAATTCCTTTAAGGGGAAAATGCCCCTTGAGCACTGAATGTAATGTTTCTGAATGCATAGAATAAGGTGGGGTATTCTGCCTTGTACGTCAGCTAAGGTAGAGGTGAGCTGCCTGGGGTCTGCAGATTCTCCATCCAACCAGAATGTTCATTCTGACTGTTAATTCTTAATGCTCATTCTGGGGATACTGACTGACTCTCTATCACTGCAAAGACTGGTTCTACCTAGGACCATTAAAATAAATTATTATCTGTCAGAATTGAGACAGAGCATATTCAACACTGTTTTTTGAAGACATTTCTTTTTTGCACTAATGGAGAATTGATAACAGAGAACTGTGTAATCTGTGAACCATTGATCTTACAATGCATACAAACTATTACACTAAAATAACAGCTAAAAAAAGTCCTTTTAGACTTACCTGAAAAACAGACATGTATATTGATACCACGTACACTAGAGATAGCTATAATCAATGTATTTTTAAAACCAAGAAAATACAAAGTTATGTAGGTCTTGCAGACCACTGTCTCTTCTAAATGTTGATTTTGAAAACCTTTCAAAATCGCTTTGCATTAAGACAGGATCCTGTCATACTAATGCTGATTCATTCAGCAGATATAGGGGTCAGAAAACATCAGAAAGCTCCTGCCTGTGACTGTAACTTCAAAGGAATGAAGTCAAGCTCCAATATGTGTTAGCTATGGGTACAGAAAAGGCCATTGATATGACTGAGTGGGATTTTTTATTTCAAACATTCATTAAGGTGACGTTTGGAGATATATTTGTGAATTTCATTAGACCTTTGTACAAATCACCCAAAGCACAGATACTTACTAATATAATTAATATTTTAGTCCCTTTACACTGGGAAGAAGCAGAATACATGAATGCCCATTATTTCCATTTGTATTTGCTTTAGCTAGTGAATCTTTAGCTGTTGCAATATTAAGCGATAGAGATAATACAGGTGCTTATGTTGGGAAAGTGGAATGGTGTTCCTGCATACAGATGAGTTATAGTTATATGTAAGAAACCCAGGCAGATTTCTACCAATATCCTTTCATATTTTAAATCAATATAGTGCCTTAATAAAAACGCAAGGATAAATGTAAATTATTTAATAAAACTATTTAAATAGAGGCTTGAGGGATATATAGGTATTAATGTAACATCAGGTTGGAAAAAATTTATGTATATGAGTTGAATTATGGACCACTGATAATATTATACTGGATTTAGAGAGATAGGTCCACCTACCTTTATCAATATAAGGAGTGAATATGATTAAAATGTCTGTTTTATTTATGAGGTGACATATTTATTTCAATCTTTACCAGTAAAATGTCCATCAAAAAATTTTACACTGATTAATAAATTGATTTCTAAATTTATTTGGGTCAAGAAAGAAGTACCAATAAAAACTTCAGTGTTGCATGCTCCATTTGAAATAGGTCGTTTCAATCTTCCAAATTTTCATTTTAGCTGGCTGATCAGCTGAGAGCTGCCACATAACTGGTTTAACCACATATAGCTATGTCTTCTTGGTTAATATTGAAGCAACAGTGAATACGTCTTTAAGAGCTACACTTTATATTATGTGCCACTACTATAAACGTTGCCAAGTATGTAAGAAACTGTTAGGAAAAGGTAAAAATTTGACTTAATTTACCGCTTTATGGGATACCTTGTTTGTTCCATGATCTCTTTTAGATGGTATTAGGCTTAAACGCTAGAAGAAGGGTATTGTTGAACTAGGTGATTGATGTTGTAAGGACACTTTTTCAGATTTACAGGCAACAAAAAGAAAATATATCTGATAAACATTTTATATATGTCTGCAGATATGAAACTTGGTTACAGTTAAATTAAAAAAAGATTTTCTATAAACACCAAGTGAAAAAACAATCCAACGTATTTACATCCTTAAAGGTTTTCTCTCTAAATTATATAAAGTGCTGAATTCAGAAATGAAAGATGATTTTATACAAAAAAAGGTAAAATGGGAAAATGATTTGCAACATGAGATTTCAGTAGAAGAACAACAGATACTGTTATGGAATTATATATTATATGCATTATATCATGTAATTATGTAATATTATATGTAATCCATCGAATATGCCATTAAGGAGAGCTAAATTTAAAGTTAATTTACTGTATTAAATGCCCATGTGCCCATGTTGCAAACCAGAAATGATGATATGGTGCATGTTATGAAATTGTTATACATTTAAAAACATTGGAAATGCTACTTATTATATATCAAAAATGGAAAAACATCACCCAACATTTATTTTTTGGGTTATAAACATCTATTGTAGAATTTTTAAAATAACGGCAAAAAAAACATACTTTTGGCATTAACTGCAGCTATGCATACTGAAATATTAGAGAACAGACATTGCACCCTTTGTAAGGCAATGATGGAATGAGCTTGTGTCATATTGTACACTGCAAACAAATATGTACAATGTAGATGGACAACCAACCAAGAAATGTAAAGGGTTTGGGAGATGGGAATGATATGTTGGAAAAAGTATGAAAAAATAATAACATTTATAAATAAAACACATAAATAAAAAGAATGACATGAAAAATGCTTAACTGGACTAAAAACAACAACTAAAAAATGACACCAGCATTTGTAACGACACAAGCTGACATAATTTTACACTGTATTCTACTGCAGTATCAAAAACATTTTCTAACAATTGCTAAACATCTCAGAATTGAGAATTTCCTTCTCTAAATGAAAACTGCAAGTTAATTTTTCAGGCACCATACACAACCTAAGTATGGTGCCTGAAAGTTGGACAGAGAGCTTAAAAAGCCAATTTGGAAACCCTCCAGACTTAAAATATGTTTCTTCATTTCATAAATTAAAATAGTACAAATTCATTAAAACAACTTTCTGTTAAGGGTTGACAATACTGTCCTAACCACCTGGTACCACTGCAGAGAATGTCTTCCTCTAAAAGACATAACCAGCCCATTACATAAAAAGACTGCCATCCCTCTGGAAATGACTCTTCAGGAACAGCATGAGCTGACAGACAAGTCACTGAACAGGCAGAGATTTACAATGGACAGCTGTATTTACTGTGGACACCTGTACAACAGTTGGTCAATGATACTATCTTAAAAAAGCCCTATACAACAATTTGTCTCAAAAAGTCTAAATTCATTTGACCTGCCAACCTCCTGTTAGAATAAAATCAGAGGAATTTCAGCAGCAAAAATTATAAAGCAGAGATTCTCCCACAGAGCATATGCATTTGAGCAATTACGTGAAGTGAACTAAGAATTTGCTTAATGAGACCTTTTTAAAATACTTCAACTCTAACTTGGTTGGAGGCGGTTCAGCAAGAGATGTAAGCCTAATTCACAGAGTGCAGCTGAGATTGAAACCACGAGGGAGCACCAAAACCAGGATTTAAAATTATGGTTAATGTACACATTATTTTGACTGCACACAGTAAAAACAAACTATAAATTCAAAATATGTCACCCTGAGCTACAATATGCTACTTGCGAAAAAGACTTAGGCGTTATGTTGATACATCATTTCTAACTTCTAGACTATGTAGAGAACCAATAATAAAGGCAAGCAAACTATTAGGATATATAGTTAAAAATACAGATTTTAAATGAAGGAATGTTATGTTAAAATTGTATAATGCACAATTTTGGTCTCCATGTTTTAGAAAAAATATAGCTGCCCTGGAATCAATTTCAGGACTGAAGGGAATGTTTTGTCCTAACAGGCTGAATCGCTGTTCAAGTTTTTTAGTCTTAAACAGAAAAGACTATGAGGGGACTTGATACAAGCACTCAAAATCCTCAAAGGCAATGACAGGAGACTTTTTACCCAAAGAGTTGAAGGAAAAAGCTGGCTGCCATGTTGTTGAAGCCAGTAGCCTGTCTTCTTTCGATAAATAGTTAGGAGAGATCCTGAAATCAATAAACTACAAATGGCCTCGTTTGCAACCTGTCTTACATCTTTAAAATATGTCCGATTACATGCAACAAATACACCTGACCAGATCAAACTGAGGTGCAGTAACAATGCTAAAGCATACATTCTAATAGGTTGATTGATTAAGATAATTGCTTTTATTTCCTTTTATTAGGCCTGACAAGAAGTACACAAATCTGAAATGGCCATTAAAAACACTGAAAACAATAAATCAAGGCAACAAAAGTGCTTTGTAAACCATCTTAATAAAAAAATCAGCATTTTATAGGACAGTAATCTGCTAAATCAGCAGGTATGTGTAAATTAATTTCACATCCTGTCTACCTAATGATGCATGCAGTCTGCACATATTTAATTACTCTTTAGTTCTGATGTTAATTTAAAGTTATTCTCTTTCCTACCAGCAAGAGCTTATTGTTGTGATTTTGTTATGAGCTTCACAGGTGGTGTGAGATCTCCTCTGACACAGCAGTCATTAATAAAAAAGATTCAGTACTTCTCTTTTGCTGTGTGATCTCCAATTGTTACATACAAAAGGTTATGTGTGTTTCTGTTATATGGGTTTTCTTGATGTTTTATAGTCAAATGCAAAAACTTCTTCCAAACTCTTACAGCAAAATCATTAAAAGAGATATTCAAGTTTTAACAGATTCTAAAGAAACATCACCAAAGGGACAATTAAATTAATTTTAAGTATGGTAAACACATTAAACACTACAGTGCAAAGAGTTAAGTTTTAATTTATCACTTTTTGCCCATTTTAAATACTGTACAATGTAGAATCTTTCATGTATGAAGTCCATTAAGAGGGGACAGAATGAGAGAGAGGGAGAACTCACAAAGGGCAGTTCTGAGGACATGCATTTCAAACACTCAATTCTTTAAAGCTCATTATGAAGACTGTACATTGTTCCATCTATAGCATGGTATATTTAACCAGATACATTAAAATGAGAATAAATTATCATTTACATCGATGAGCTGGACACCACCCTATTATCCTGCATGTCACTAGAGAAATGTGAGCAAAGTACCTTGCTCTGGGGTATAATAGCAAAGACCCACCAGGAATCAGTACCCAACCCCAGAGTCCACAGCCCTGACCACTATTCCTCATTGCTGCCTATAGGCCTGTTTCCCACAACACACCTCTTTAAACCCTGACAGTTTCTCAGAGTGATCTGAGGTACTACAAATAACCAGAGAACATATAATGATATAAAAAAGCATCATATATAACAATTTGGAAATTGTAGATTAGATCAATAAAGATGATTCAGTTTGAAATACTTTCTTGATGCCCAAAAATGAATAACCTTTATGGTACTAGGAACCATTTTTTTTTTTGCTTTTACCATTAACCGCCAACAATCTTTAGAAAACATATTTAGCATCTTGAAACTCATCAATGTTACCGCCTGCTGGGTCTTGTATTAGATTCACAGAACAATCATTTTAGAAGCCTTGGGCAGTCTAACCTTCGGGTAAGAAAAATTACTGCTATATATTATGCACACTTTGTGTGAATATCATACTCACAGCTTTGTATATTCAAATCAATTCTGAGGAACAGTTATTTTTAACTCTACCATGATGAAAATGTGGAAATACATTAACCATTTCTGATATTTTGAAAACATGAAAGATTTTCCAAAACCATGAGATTAAAGTCTGGGAAGTCTTTAGTAATTTAGTCATTTTGACAGGTCCTGTACTTCAAACAGAGCTTTCAGAAGTCACTTGTCTGGCTAGCTACAAAATCCTGTCGTTAATCAAGAGTGATTGCTGCTAATTGGTCCTGTCTTATACTTGATTTTGCAGATAACAACTTAAAGTACAATTAAGCTGATGTGTTGCCTTTGGAGAAATGCTGTAGTTAAAGAAGGTCATATAAATTAAGACTTGTCATAAAATACCACAAAAAAAATGTTATGTCAGGCTAGGTTTTGCAAAGAAACAGTTATAGATCAAACTGCTGAACCTGTACTTTCTTTTTTACTCCTACAGCATTAATTAGTTACAAAAGCAAATTCCTTTACTTCCAATTTGGAAATATATACAATGAATGTTATAGAGCTAACTTGTTTAGAGTAAATAAGTGTTTTTTTTTTTTACTTTTTACATGCAAAACAATAAATGCATTGTTTGGTAGTGAAAATTATGTTTTATATTCAGCCAGGAATTTTGTAGGCAGTATGGACATTAAATGACTGAAGTAAATTAAAACATAATTTGAATTCTTCCATTCTTCATTGTGTTATCTGCTTCAATCTAACATGGCTCCCTTAAGACAATCGTATTACATTTTAACTTATCTGAGTAAAATCATTTAGCATGTGGATTGAGCAAAACACAACAGACTTAGTTTTTGCTAATTCAGAGGTTTTCAAAAAATATGATTGTAGATTGATGCTTTTTTTCCTTTCTGGCACCATACGTCTTTGCAATAACCAATGATACCTTCTAGTAGAAACCCAATAATACCTGCTTTACAAAGGTAAACCACTTCAAAATAAAAAACAATTAGGTTACGGTTTTATAGCTCAAAAGACGATTTAACTTTGCTGACTTTAAAATGACTGACTGAGACCATTAATTTGCTTTGTTGTGTATGAAATTACAAGAGAGGCAGCTGTGCATGAATTTTAACCCACCTGCCATGACACTGCACCCAGGATAGCTGTTGACACGAGACTGAAGAACACCAGGCGCTCTGAGATCAAGCAGAAATGGCGCATCCCCTTGGATGCCATCACCCTGTCCAGGCTTCTGTTTTCAGAACGCTGAGTGTAGTACACCTTCTGGCAGTCGTTCAGCTTGGTGTGGAACCCCCAAATGGTGATGATGAAGATGATGTGGCAGATCATCCAGAAGATCCCAAAAATGGAGAAGCCCGGTATCACAAAATACCACATCTGTAAATCCCTGAGCTTGAACGCTGCGAGGATAAAGAAACTGAGCTCTAGAAGTCCGAGTGGGAGAACAGACAGCCTCCGCCACAGCCTGCCGTGAGCAAGGAACGGCAGCCAGCGTTCTGTGACGGACAGGCTGCTGAAGTAGACATCGAACAAGGGGTCGCACATCAGGCGGCTAAAGTAGCATGCCAGAGCAAAGGGGTTTATGGAGATCTTCAGCGACGGAAAAAACAACACAGAGGATATCACTGCGAACAGGACCAAGTTTGGAATTGCCATGAAGGACTTCATCCGCAGATCGACCATCAGAGTGGCCAAAGCTACCACCAGGAGAATGATGCTGATAGCCTTGTGAAGCAGCATTGCGGTGCTAGCTATAGCAAAGCCGACAAGCTCCAAAAACTCAGTGGAAGTCAAGAGAGCCGGCCGGTAACGGACACAACCGCAAATTCTTTCCACGAGAGCTGACAACGTCCTTATGATGATGCTGGTCAGGAGCAGGTAATTGGTGACTTCCTCTTTAACATCACTCTTTAAGGAGGAGCTGTTCAAGAAACACAGGAGACCTAGCAGAAACCCAAACCATAGATGGGACAGGCTCAGGCTTGCAGTTTCCATGGAGAAGTAATAATACAAAATGCTGGCAATTCCTAGGACAAACAGGCCCAAGATGAAAATCACCAGAATTAGAGAATCGTCCGTCTTCTCCCATCGTACATAGAGACCTAAGCATACAGCCACCAGCAAGTTGAGACTGGCTAAGTGACCAAGATAGCGCACAGAAGACCGCATGCTGACCTCCTTGTTCAACTCCTCCAGTCTAGTCATCGCTGCATACAGACAGTGACTGACACAGTAGCGTAATGACCTGCACATGTAAATGGATGGGGACAGGCTCCTGCTCACACCAGCAAAATGTGGACCTGGGAAGGCTCATCCGGGATATTTGACATTCTCAGCCTGAGGAGACGTTCTCCAAATGCTGTAATAGCAAGTATTCACCAACTGTAATAAACAAAACACCAAAAGCAAATTAAATAAATGCTTGTGTGCTGTTAAGCCAAATACACAAAATCTGCAATGTCAAAGCATACCAATATCAATAAACAGGCTGCACAGCTCGTTACAAGACATTCTTACACGACGACATCTGAAGCAAACAATTTTTAAAGGGAAATACATTTTAAGAGCAAATGCTGGGGTCCTGGTAAATCCAGTTTCACTACGGGTTTCTGGGTGAAACCCGTAACCGAACCAAAAGTTAACACTCTTTTCAGCACCTGTTTGTATCCAAAGCATTCTCCTCATGAAAAAGACAACTTCAGCTTTTCTACAAGCCCTAGGCAAAACTAGATTTTTCAAACCACCAGATTTTGCCCTTAATATATATCTCACCATGAAAACTCTTTTTAAAGGACAATGTAAGAAATCACAATTAGGTATGTTAAGTATATTCATATTTATGAGGACTCCAAACAAACCTTACAGAAAACTTAAGTTTATATGTTTGATGACCGTTTGATGAATGCGTGTTAAATTTCTTCTTTCAGGCCGAAATAAATAGTAAAAACAAGGGATTCATCTATCACACTATACTCTAATAATTTAAAAATGTCAGTAGATTTTTCCGTGTGAGAAAATGTACCATTTGCTTCTCACAAGGTCTAATTCCTTTTAAACGTCAATGTAGAGCATGCCACCTTTTTACAAAATCATAGAGAAGTCAAAACAAAGTGGTACAACGAAAGCACTTCTTGTTGCAGCAGAAGTAAGGAATTTCATGCCAAACACAATCTTAACATTAATATCTTGTGCACATCTAACAAAAAATCACTTCCATTGCGCAATGTGTCATTTTCTGATTGTATCTCATGTGTAACCAAACTAGATTCACATAAACACAGTTTACACTTGAAAAGTAACTTAAGCGTAAGCCCAAGAGAAAAGAAAGTTCCTCTTCCGCCTTATTTTCTTGGCTTGCCATAGATATTAGAAGATGCATTTCTTTATACTTTCTGGGACAACACAGTTATTGAACAGGATAGTAAACACGAAAAGACCACCTTATTAGCGACCATGCTAAAATGCATCAATTATTTAAAGATGACCAAATAACTTTCCTAAATAAGCTATTTTATTAGTACATTTACATTGTTTATATTTTATTTTTTGGTACCGAAAGACGTGATAGTACATGCTTAGATACTGAAAATACTTTAAATAAAACGTACTGTCACGCGTTTTATCTACCAAGATTACATAGGTGCATATTTTATTCAACCATATCAAACTCTAAGACCAGATAGATTTCTATCCGTTTACTAAAAGTGAACAGTCTCTTCTCATGACGTTAAAACATATTTCTATCCGATAGCAAACTATCACCACTTCCTGCAGTGCGCAGTGAATGAAGTTCTTGCGTTTAAATTTATTTTGTTAACTACGCACCAGTTCAGTAGATTTTCAACGACTAACCGTGAGCACAGGACAAATAAATCCTATCGTCGTTTCTCTCTGTTTTAATCCCATATGGTTATTTAAACTTCGTTGTTTAATTTATTTTGATTTCAGTTTGAAAACTTTCCCTGCCTCACATCCGCCATACTTTCTCCGTGTCACCTACGGCGAGCAGCGGAGACCAATCCCTGCCTCCATGGGACTCTTATCGCTAAAGCACCCATGCAGTCAAACGGGGTGGCACTGGAAATGCAGTAGATCGTGGTTACACGGGCATCCTAACAGTGTGCTGCTGTGAAGACACTTAAGCATACAATAACAAAGATAGCAGTTGGATCACGATTTAGTGAAAGAAGCTGTTTGAACACTCCAACACAGAAAAGGAAATTACTTTACAAAATCATTAATGCATATAGTTTTGATTATTTAGATTTCAGGGTCATATCATATATTTTTATCTCATTTAATGAGATGAAAATGAGATATTTGTCAACAGTGACAAAAGAAGAAGATTACAAACTCTAAAGACACCGTGTCCCAGTACCCTCTGAGTCATGTGTAGCAGGGCACAGTATGCTGATGCAGTTAAGGAGCGATGTCACCCCCTCTGATACCCAGTGAAAAACTCTACCACAGTACAGCAGGCCTGTAAAAGGTGTTGTGCGTGTCTGAGGCCCATGATCTACCAATATCGAATGCTGGAAGGGAGAGATGCATTCGTCACACATGCAGTCAACGCATTAATGTCGGGTAAACATTTAGAGTAAATGGTTAATAACATACACCATAATGGATGGTGCAACATTTACCATTTAAGACATTAAGACTGAAGTGAGTAAAGGAAAAAAAGAGTAAAACAAAACATAATTGATTATGCATCTTTGGGCATCTTGAAACTGAGCAAGTGTGAGAACATATTATGATGATAGTGCAATAAGAGTACATGTCTTTTTTACCTTTTAAATTTCACCTTTCACCTTTCACATTTCTGACAAAGATGGAAGCTGAGGCTACCAGGCCATGCCAGTGTACACAAATTATGAAGGTGCACTGTTTATTGTGTGAAGAACAGCATAGGAGGATACAGTAAGTGAATTAACACTGTTCCAAGGTAGAACCTGAAATAGTTTTTGTAAACACATATAGATAAATTGGTAGTATGAATCATTGTTTGGGATACTAGGGTGAAGGCTATAGTTTAGAGATTCAGAAAATGTTTATACTGTATATATAACTTGCTGAAGCCAAAAAGAGAAATTTAAAATAAGAAGCATGGTTAAATGCTTCAAATTTTGAGTTAATCATATTCCTGAACTTCATTCTGCATCAAATCTTTGTTTTCAAAAGATATAGTACTGTGATATGGTTATGCACTGGTTAGCACTGCTGCCCTGCAGTGCTCGGGCACTGGGGTACTACTGGGTGGAGTTCGCATGGTCTCTCCATGTGTGCGGGGGTTTCCTCCCACAATCCAAAGACTGGTAGGATTTCAGGGAAATCTGGCCCTAGTGCAACCATGTAAACTTCAGCATCCATGTCACCGTCCCATCCGGAGTGTACCCTGCCTTGAGCCCATTGCTTGCCAGGACAGACTCTGGCTCCCTGGACTGGATAAAGACGTGAGAAAATGGATTGATGGATATAACATATTTATCATGTAGCACATGTATGGATAATCATCCATACTGGTGAGTGGCAGTCGCTTTCGTTCAAATGAAGAAACCTTCAAAGACCCCTAGAATCACAACAAAATAATCCATAAGCATTGGTTGAGAGGGCTACAGAGAATGTATACCTTTTACAGTATATTGTCTATTTTTACAATACATAGAAATAAATTGTTTACATTAAGTTTTAAAATACAGGCTGGTAAAAAAAAAAACATTTCAACCATATTTACTTCATTTTTATCAATGCTGGCAAATGACTACAGACTGCCACCACATCCTGTGCTGCATGAAAGTATCTGGCTTGTCAACCAATACTTCATGAGCTACAGAGCCTGTCCTGTCCTTATGGACTATTTGATTAAATATTTAAATTAGATCATCAGTTTTATAGTAAATTAAATTTGTACTATAATCTGCATGAGTGAAAGAAAACATAAATACTTGCTATGCCATGGACCTAGCTATGCCAATATTTTTATCAGCTGGGTAGAAGAATGCTTCTTTGCTTCTTATACTGGCTTTGTCCCTGACCTCTACAAGCGAGGCATCGATGACTGCGTCGATGCTGCTACACGCTCTAATGACCAGCTAGAGCACTTCCTGCATCAATTCACTCTCACCCGTCCCTCAAATACACAGTTAACATATCTTCCACCACTCTTCCGTTTCTATACATAAATGCATCTATTAACCATCCACGACTCTCCCCCTCGGTCTATTACAAATCCACAGATTCACACAGCTATCTCCTGTACAGCTCTTTTCATCCCACTCACATCAAAACTCTCTCCCTTTTTCAGAGTTTCTCAGGTTACGTTGACTCTGCAGTGATGACATGGATTTCCAGAGCCAAGCAGTCAAAATGCATTCTTTTTCATCAATAGAGGATACCCTTTCCCATGTTATCGATGGGGCCATCACCCCACCCAAAAACAGCCCCAGGACCATCAAGTCGACCAGGAACTCCTAGTCTCACAACTGCATTTCTTTGGTGCTTCCCTACCACTCTAAAACACTTTCTATCCCCAGGACCATTATTAACAACTAGTCCATTTTACAGGTAATCCCTGCATCAGTACTCTTTTTTCTGACCACCCAATCTACGTAAACTTCTTGTTCACAGCTCCCTTGACCGCACTTGGCAATCATCCCCTCCAGGCACCTTACCCTGCAACAGAACTCGCTGCATCACCTGGAAATACATATTTAGCAACACGCTCATTCAGGGCCCCTCAGGTCAATTCTGGATCACCGAGACGACATCCTGTACCTCCAGTAACCTCATTTACTGTATCTCCTGCAAAAAAATCCCCAGCTATCTATGTTGGGGAAACCGGAGGGAGACTAGAAGACCGCTTCAGAGAACATCGGGCTGTGAAGATTAAAGATTTCTCCAAGCCAATAGTTTCTCATTTCAGCTCAGACGACCATGATCACACTGATCTCTCTCTGTTCTCAAAGAAGGGTTTCTCATCTCCCATAGAAAGATAAACAAAACTCATCCTGAAACTAAGATCACACCTTTTTTCAATGACAGACGTTTCGTGTTATCTTCTCTATTCTCATGCAGGTTTTGACTTCACACCTTTCTTCACCCCTCTCCACTTTGTACTTCATGAGTGGCCTCTCTGCCTCCTCCCCTATCCCAGCTTTTGTTCTTCTGCGCTGTTTAATCTTTTCTGTCTGCCCTGTCTTTCTCACACCTGAAGAAGGCTTCACAGCCGAAACGTTGCGTTTTCTCTCTTCTCTTTTCACCATGGAATAAACCTATTACTTGTTCCTTTGCAGACTATGCATGCTGATGCAGCTACCCACCTGAACTATAAAAACTGCTTTCCCATTTTGAAAAAAGGCATTTAGGAGAAAGCAAATGAAGCAGTCTAGAAATTTGAGAATGACAAAATCTTAAGTTAATTGTTAAAAGGAAAAAAACATATTCAAACCTGTTAATAATATAATCAATGCACACAAGAAAAAGGAATGTTTCATCAGTACTTGAACAAGCCCCGTGTCCTCAACCAAATTGTACTGTCAAACTCAAAACAGATCCTCTTTTTACAAAAAAAAAGATTTTTGGTGGTAGAAGGTAAAAGAAAAACACATTGGGGTTTGAGATGCTATATGCTTATTTCTCTCAGATCCTGGTGACATCTGTATTGAAGGATAGGATGTATGAAAACTCAGTCAGTTAGACAGTACTAGAAGATCTATTGGATGGATGTTTGTACAGTATTTCACCAAGATAATGACTACAAGCATTCTCCTGCAAAGGAATTTTTGCAAGACGTACAGATTGCAGTCAGTCTGCAGACTTGAATCCGGCCAAGGAGCTGTGGATGTACCTGAAGGACGCTGTTCCAAAGACAAAACCACTATCTACTGGAAACTCTATTGAGGAAAGCTCAGAACCATTTCTGGACATACACCAGAAACTACTTTCAATATGCACAAGACCACAGGGTTAAAAAGAAGCATACAATACTAAAATAACACTTAAATAAAAAATACTAAACATGCCCAACAACTTTAGATGTTTGTCTACACATAACAAAATTACTAAATATTTTTCATGTTATTTTTATTTAATGTATATATGTTTTTATTATAAACCAAATTTGTATTTTTTTATCATTCAGCACCACAGCTGCAAGTTTCAATACAATTAATGCTTTTAATGCGCCAAAAATGTCTCCTCCATTCACTTTAGCTTATGATTAACTTTTGTCCTAAATGGAAATATATTTAAAGCAATATATTTCTATAGCTAAACAACATTACCTTTTATCTAAATCATTTTAATACCTCTAAATTAAAGGCAGTATCTAAATTTTTACTCAATAATATACTTCTGATTAATGTATTTGAACCAGACCGATCATGATTTACTGGAATATATTTTTCTACAAACCATATAAAACTAATGTAGTAGCACTTTATTTTCTGACATGAAGACAGTCAATATACCGTATCATAGTCCAGGTACTAAGATCAGATTTTAGCCATTACTGTATGTTTTATTTTCACATGATTTCTGTTTTACCATGATTTAAAATCTAGATTATAAACAGAGTCAATAAACCACACAACAGGAGTGCATTCACATTCATTTATAAAAGGAACAGACATTGAACAATACAAGCATGTTTGTGCTCTGTGATAGTCAAAATATATTTCTTGTACAAGGAAACCAAAGTAGGTCATGCAGAAGGACAGTGGAATACAAAAACAACAAAAAAATAAAAAAACAATCCGTTTTAGTCCAACTGCTTTTACAGTTTTCCAAAACCTTAACCACATGCTTTGCTCTCCTTTCAAATCTCCACCAGGACAAGAGGCACTGTTTTACTCACAAAGATCTGTGCAAGTCTAAAAGAGACATGCAAGCTCTAGACTTTCAATTCATGGTTCTGGGGTCCCTGAAAGAGGAACAACTTACTGAAACCAGATGAAACATACACAACATTTAAAGGATAATAGATTTGGAAATATTTGTTTCACCATGTTTTCTAAAAAATCTGAAAGGTTTTCTGTTTTGTTTTCTCTTTTTCTCTCAATCCCAGATTTAATTTTTGAGGTCTTTGCAAACCATCAGGAGTAGCATGCTCCCCAGGGCTGTAACAATGTGAGACCATTAGTTTTATGCACTGGAGAGAGATGCTCTTATGTTGGACTATTTGTAATCTTCAAACAGCTCGCCTCCCTTTCTTAAGTAACTGGATAGAAAGTCTTACAAAAATAAAGAACACAGATGAAAAAAGTTTGTTAGACTTCTGTGCATTCAAAAAGATTTTAAACCATCAATGCACAATCTTGGCATCTACAGTTATGTAAATGTAAAGTTAGGCTGAAGTATCATGCATCAAGGCTTCAAGTTCACAGAGAGAAAAAAACAATGTAAACATACATTTTATGTTTACAGAAAGGTAAAGAAGTAGGATTTATGAAACAAGGCTAGCGTTAATTAGCAAAACAAAAATGTTTCAGTAAAAGTAGTGATGGACTGCTCTTGAAAGCTGAATATAAAAATGAGAGGGGAACATTACATTTCAGCAATTAATTACTACAAGGACCACTGCTAATACAAAATAACACCAATTATTTATAAATTGAAATTAGTGTTTCCTGAAGTTATAAATCAATTATGCCAAATTATGGGAATATTTGGGGAATAACTGAAGATAAACTTCTGAAATATACTTATTGGGAAGTTATTGTGTACATGTCATGAAACTTAAACCACACAGCTTGTAGAGCATGAACAGAACACTTAATGAAATATATATATATGGCTAAGAAGGCACCCTAATGAATGGCCTTGAGCTACTACTGAAAGATAACTTGTATGTTTGGCTAACAGTAAACTCTTCTGTATCTTAAAGCTTAAAAGGCTAAAGAATTTGTAGAACATTTCCCCTTTCACATTATTTTATCACATCTACCTGTAACATGGAACAAGAACTGATTTTGTTACATTTACAGGTTTTGGCACACTTGGGGGATAACAAAATACATTGAAAAGAGTGACAGAACTGTATATAAGGTTCAGCAACCCAAAACAATATCATAAGTGCAACGTTATCAGCCAATTTGCTAGTGTTAATAAGAACCATAACAGAACACCCCTACAATATTGTTAAATACAGTACTTCTTTAAGGTCACGCCAAGCTATTGCAGAAATGCACTCAAAGCAAAACTAACTTTGTCTAAGACCAGAGAGGATATTAGTGCAAAAAACCCTCATTATGAGGTAAATTATTTTAAAGAACTATGAGACACTGACAGCTCAACACAAAGGCATTTGGATAAATGTCTTTTGTGTCAAATTACTTTTGGCTGATGAAAGGAACAGCTGCTTGAAACTGTCTACAATATAACTAGATTCAAATCTGAAGGATCCCCTAGAGAGGAGAACAACAAACATAAAAAATACAGCTAGAGATTATCATAGGAAGAAGTTATGAATTTCAATTTTGTTTTCTAATGCAATGCTCTTTCTATATTCCAAAAGGCAGGATATTTGTTAAGTTAAACACCGGATACTGAAAAATATCAAGCTTTACATTTACATGAGCTTTCAATGTGATTTGTGTTTGGAACATTTTTAAACTGAGTAAAAAGGCAAGTACCTGCGAGACAAATAGTAAACTTACATTTGTCTTGTGAAGAAGCACAGAGCAAAGTCAATCACAGTCTGAATGGGTTGCTTTACAAGTACCAAGTAATTATACTCTAAGTTTATCAAAGAAAACCATTTGTTTTCACAGATTCACAGCAGTAAAATATAAAAGCACATCTGCGAGTGCTGGAGAAGCTTAAAATGATTAAGAGGTTCCCAGTGTCAGCAGCCAAAAGATGCTAAGTTAAATTGGTATTGCTGCCTTTAAAAAAATGGCCAACACCAGTTTGTTCAAAAGTGAACAGACCACATTGTTCGTCAAGAAAATTTAACTATCAGACTAAATGCACAAATACAAAACAGAAGTGGTGCAAATTACAGCCCAACTCTAGGCAGAAAGCAAAACTTCTTAAAGAAGTTTCATTTTTCATTAACAACACCTTGTTCCCCTCTCCCCCCCGCCCCCATTAAATTCAAAGGCTGACACGAAAGAGCCAAGACACACGTCCTCATGTTGCTTTACTATTTGGCTTTTCAATCTGCCGCAAGAAGAAATATAGTGCATCGAAAAAACATGGATCATTTTAAAAGGTTTATAATAGATGGTTTTATCTGCTGACCTCACATGATCAACTAAAGGACAGAATAGGAAGTATAAGGCTAATTCTCCCTCCAAAAATGCTTTCAACTACCTGCCCTGTTTTTTCTGTTAAAAAAAGCCCCCACACCAATGTGCTGTTTTTCCATACCAGATGCAGAAGAACCATTGTAATCAACTTCTGTAAACTTTTTTTTTTCTGTGCAAACTGTACATTTTTGTTACACAAAGAGCATCAAAATACAGCAGAGTTATTTTGGCAACACAGCAGCTCAGACAATAAAAGGCAAGTTTTTTTTTGTCGTCATTATCTCCTTAAGGTTAGTTAGTATTTCCATCAGGTCTGGAGTAATATAGGGTCCTCCAGCTCTTGAACTGGAACAGAGCCAGTCTGGCTCTCTCCCGAGTCAGAATCGTAAGGTGCGTCAGGGAGCTCCATAAAACTGCAGACCAGCTGGTCCTCCTCGAACTCGGAGCGTGCAGGGATAAGAACATCCGAAAACTCCTCCTCCTCGAGATAGTTAAAATCCTGAGGGATGTACAGCATCTCCGGGTAGTTCCTGCTGACAAGATCGCTGGTGGTCTTTAAGGAGACTTTCCTGAAGGCCATGAGATGCATGTGAGAAAACTTGACATACTTGTACCTTTTAAAACCCAGTGACTCCACGGCGATCTTCCAGCTCTTCATCATCAGGGTGTGACGGTTCTGATGGGAGGAGTCAGGAGTGATGATTAGAAGCAAGCCGTTCAGAGTCAGCAGCTCGTGGGCCTTTTTGCAGCAGATCCAGCGCTGATAGGGGGAAGGGAAGTAGGAGAGAAGCAGAGAGAATACCACCACGTTGAAGAGCTCTCCGGGAAGGGCATCAATGGGGCTGCGGAGCTGCTTGAGAAAGGCATCAACGGCGTCCCGTGCCAGCTGGAGTGGCTGCTGGAGCTGGAGGTTAAGGAAGTCACACTTGTACACACTCTGGGAGAAAGAAGAGTAAGAAAAAGAGCCTTTCATCATCAACGGACTGTATTCTAGAAATACTTTACCATAGTTCCACTGAAACCTTTACAATATCAATTCTGGGCATATTCAGGTTTTTGCTTTCATGTTTTCTTTGACAATTTTTTACCTGTGATGCTAAGTCTTCATTTTAATATGCTGAATTTAATTAGAATGAGAAATAGGTGAATGTAGTTCAGGTGGGTAGCTGCGTCAGCATGGGTAGGCTGCAAAGGATCAAGTAATAGGTTTATTCCATGCTGAAAAAAAGAAGAAAGAAAACACAACGTTTCGGCCGTGGAGCCTTCTTCAGGTGTCAAGAAGGTGACACCTGAAGAAGGCTCCACGGCCGAAACGTTGTGTTTTCTTTCTTCTTTTTTTCAGCATGGAATAAACCTATTACTTGTTCCTGTAATAGGTAAATGCTTAATTTTATTTTTTAAATAGATTTTTGACTTGACTGCATAAAAAGTATAAACCAATCTGTTGAAAGGCGTTAGATTTAAAGATGGCACTGGCATTAATAGCCAAAAGCCATATCACCCTGCAGTTCTCAACTGGCTACCCACTGAAGCTAAGCAGGGTTTAGCCTGGTCAGTAGCTGGATTGGAGACCTCCTGGGAAGCTATGGTTGCTGCTGAAAGTGGTGTTAGTGGGACCAGTGGGGGGTGCTCACCCTTTAGTCTGTGTGGGTCCTAGTGCCCTGGTATAGTGGCGGGACACTATACTGTACTATACTGTAGTGGGTGCTGTGTTTTGGATGAGACATTAAACCGAGGTCCTGACTCTCAGTGGTCATTAAAGATCCCTGGGCATTTCTCGATAAGAATAGGGAGTTATCCTGGTGTCAGGGCCAAATTTCCCCCCTCGGCCTTTACAGTGGCCTCCAAACTGTCCCCATGTATGATCTGCTTGCTCTTGCCCTGCAATGGACTGGCGCCCTGTTCAGGTTGTTCCCTGCCTTGCGCTCATTGCTTGCCAGGTAGGCTCCCGCTTCCCGCAACACCGTATGGTATAAAGCGGTTTGGCAAATGACATGACTGGCATTAATGTTATATGTATGCTGATGTTTGGAGAGTAGTATTTGGGTCGATTGCGGTACATTGTATTTAAGTTGAAAAGAGGCCTAAAATCCTTAATTATTATATAGTAGTTAGTTTACTGAGACAGATTCATGGCTGTTGTACTGTTAGGTTTAAAAATGGGGCAAGGCTAAGATTGTCAAAATATTATTTAAGGGATTAGAGGCCGCATCATGCAAAGTTTGAAGATTAATACTAATAAGCACTTAAGTGTGCAACATCCTCTACTATAACCATAACTCTATCTTGTTCCCAATTCACATCTTGACTACAACTGAGAACATCAAAAACACAAATGTACCAGACTTTGCGCTCATCATAATTCTTTACTCTAATCCTTTCACTTTGCACAAGGCTAATGTACCACCTTTAAGTCAAACTCTAATCTGGCTTCCTAATTACTATTTTACCACTTTAAACTGTTACTGATTTACATACAGTAAATATATTGATCAAACTGAGATTTTCACGCCAGTGGAAAGTGCAATAAGTACAGTACCTAGTATAGAAACCTTTATTAAAACAAATCAACTGGAAAGTTTGAAAACCTTGTAACCTATTATGAACCCATAACATAAGTAATAACCTTTTTGAGGACAATTAATGTTAAGAAAAATACGAAAAAAAATTAAATACCAACTGAATTCAATGAAAGTAATATTAAAGAAAACATCAAAATACTAAATTACAGCATAGTGCCTAGATAGTGAGACGTTGTACCTCTGCACAATCCAGTGCAAGGAGTCCATGACAGGAGTGATGTAATTACTTAATTATAGTCAAGTAAGGATTGTAAGGGCCAAATTCCAAACATATTGTCACAAACTAGAGGTTCAGGAAAATAGGTTAAATAAAATGTACCCGAGCAGTATGTATAATTTGAGGCACAGCTCTTAATTTTCTGGCACAACTCTAGCAAAAGAGTAATAAAACAGTCAAAACTTGACAAACATTTATTAACAATAAAATAGCTACAAAACACTAAGCAAAACACATAAACACAAGTTACACTATATACAAAAACATGATTCAACGGTCTTTGTCCTACAGACCTACTGTAGAAATACAGTATTCTAACCATAGTAGTCCCCTCTGAGTAAGAAGAATTACCAATCTCTGGAAAAACAATCACAAACTAGTTTTCCCACTTTAGCCACAGCAGCATGGGACCCAGTCTGGCAATATTTTTAAGATGGAAAATCAAGATGACTATTTACATACAACAAAGCATTGGGTATGAGTCAAAAATCATTCTAACTGTTGCCAGAACATACTGTATGAGTAAAGATGTACATTCGATTCAGAAATGTGCTACCAACACTCCAGTGAGAAACTGCATAGTCTTCATAGTGTGTAAGTTTTCACAGTAGCCAAGGTGTCAAGTGATTCCTTTTTTGAATGACTGACTATTGGAAGGTAAGGTGTAACTCTTCAGAGACAAGAAAACAATAAAGTACAGAAAGAACAGAATAAATAAACCTAAAGGCTGACAACTTTGAAGGTATATTGACTGTAAAGTTGGAAATGGAAGAGACAGGAAGGTCCAGATCAAAGAAAACAGGCCTGTGACCAGAAAGACACAAATCAAGATTAGTCAGATGGAAAACAAAAGAGCTATTAGCAAAGAGGGGAATAAGATGTGAGATCACAATAAATGAAAATGAGGATAAGAAGGGTAATTCATTGCAAAAATAAATTAAATTGGAGTTGCTGTAATAGGGTACTCCATTAACTATGAGAAAATGTAGAAATGCAGAGCAATCTAGATGCATGCACTTACAATATTTTACACAGCTGGAAAGATCTACAGCAAAACACAAATGTAATGCACCATGTATAAATACTGCAGTATGCAGGTTTTAGCAATGTGAAAAGCAACCTGAGTCATGTAAGTAAATACTGTATTTTAAATAAGAGAAGGCATCAGGTTTCCACAGAATAAAATAGCAGATCTTCTTTTGCCATCTCTCCTACAGCATGCGTCATCAAATTCAGGATACATTACAGAGCACTCCCACAGCCCTCAGAAGAGCAGGATTTAGTTGAATCAAATACAATACTTAAATAGAAATGTGTCTCACCGTGGAGATTCAACAGTCTTTTCTGACGACGTGCTACAAAAAGTTCAGCAAGGTTACACAACTTAAATTGAGTTAACATTTAAACCACGTCAACGCCTACATACATCAAAACACCTCAGACTAGCAACAGAAGATTGTACATATCATTCTGTAACTCCTTTCCCATTCTACAGGTCAGCAACTACAACAGTATGCACAGTCAAGCCTGATTTCCACAAGAAAGTGCAATCCAAACTAATACTAACAGGTCTACTTAGCACATTCTGCTGGTATTTCCAGGCTTTGTGGACTTATTTCATATTGCTGTCACCTTTTCTGTGCCTCAGGAGATACTGCTGTGAAAGTGTGAGGTTTTGTCCGAAACTTTTTCTAAGGCAAGCCCCGAGACCTGGTGTTTCTGCCATCGCAAAGCAGAGATCTGAAGCCTCCTGCTGATTGACCCTAATTGCTGATATCTATCAGTGTTAAATTAACTGCATTTTTAGCTCTTCCAGAATTTCACAAGGAATCCTGCTATGCAGCAGATGTGCTATTAATGTAGTTGTACAACATGATTTATATTTTCTCCAGTGTATACTTTTACCCTTGCCAATTCATTTTAAGACCTTAACAAAAAAGCACCCATTCCTGGCTCACTTTCTTCGTTCTCTTGTTTATTTCTCCTCTGCTTTTTTTACCCAGCTTGGTCTCAGAAGGCAGGGTTCTCCCCCCTAAACAAAATGAGGCTGTGTCCTACTTCTTTCCCAGCTAGATAGAAAACAAAGGGATTGGAGTATCCAGACCTGGCTAATGTGGTGCTGGTGTGCCCCAGGTGAAGCTACTGGCAACAGACGGGAGATTGTGCATGCTCAAAGACTCAGCAGACAGTCTCTAAACTAGACTTTGTTGCAGGCAAACAAAAATTTTGAATGCTCACACAACAAAGCTGAACATTTCGCAGAATAAGGTAAGCAAGATGGAGGCATGCTCGTGTAAGAAAAACATGTTGATAACAGGACCGTCAGAGGTGGACTAATGGAATGATGAGAAATTCTTTAAAGATGCATTAATGAAGCAATTCTTGAATGTTATCTATTTTTTTAATGTGAGATATAATTGTGGAGAATTTCCATAGAACATATAGAGACAGTTCTTCTGAAGGATGTTACAAGACCAGGAATCTTATTTTAAAGCTTTTTTTCTAGTTCACAGACAGCTCCTTCTGAAAGAAAGCAGGCCCTGCTCATTTGGTGTAGGTATCGGTGTTGAGCTTCTACTCAAGATGACAGGACAGCTAAGACAAGAGTGCATCACTGAAGTCAGTGGTACTTAAGGCCCTCCACACAGGTGGTTCTGTTTACAGGAGGCTGGAGGTTTTGCTAGATCTTAAGGACTGTCCTGTTGTCATGGATGTTGTGGGGAAACTTTTTTGTTGATTTTCAAGGGTAATATCTATATGAGTGATAGATTTTTGATTAATGGAGAGTGTCAGCTTAGAGTTTGTTGCAGCTACTGAAAATGAGATTTGAGAAATTGAGAACTGAGATCCTATTGACTACCTCTGTTCACCAACAGCAGCACCTATTCCTTGCAATTTTGGGGTTACCGTTTACGTTTTTAGATGGGTTTTCCACTCTGAACGTTCTGAGTTATCTCCTACATGGGAATTATTGTGCTAATGCTTGCTGACTGGATTGTGGGAGGGAAAGCCCTTTGGTTTGGCTTGGAGTGGAACAACATTAGTATGACAGATTCAAGAACAAGAGGAAGGCGGACTCAAGTTTTAAAGAATAAAGACGGTAATTTTACTGCAAAAGCATCATTTAAACTTTTATAT